CACTGAACTAAAAGAGGTCAAAATTATATAAACTTTCCATTAAAACTAAAAAATGTTATGGACCGAAAATATCTGCTAAATGTTCAAATGTCTTTCTTTATACATTTTGTATTGGTTATTCATTTGTATTTCTTTATGTGCTTAAGGATTTACATGACTAAAAAATGGCAAAACAACGACAGCAACATGGCTAGCTAGCTATGGCTAACATTCCCTCTGATATTAGTAACACAGATTTATTGCCCACTTTTTTTTATGGTATTTTCTTTTATTGATGTGTTATACAAACAATTCTCAAACACGGCACCAATATTGTCATATATAAATGTTTGCCACACTGTAAGGGAATATGTAAGTAAGTAAGTAAGTAAGTAAGTAAAACTGTATTTATATAGCACCCTTCTCAACACGGATGTACAAAGTGCTTTACAGTACAGTACACAGGACACAATTCAAAGTACAACTATAAGATGTAGAATAAAAGGCATAAAACAGCAGCAGGTAATACATAGGATAAAACATACGATAAAACACCAATAAAAGACAGCTACTAACTCACCTCCTCCGACGACCCAAAGGCCTGTCGATCACTGGGCTAAAGGTTATAAAGATACTAATGCAGCTTAGGGTTCTAGATCTTCCCACTTCGATCAATACTAACAGAAGCCTGTTTGTTTAACATCCGTACGTGTGTTTAGTTTCATGTATCTAAACCCAAACACCTCAGCCCCAACAGGAGCTGCATAGTGTGGAACACAGCTCTCCAGATTGGAACCCAGCTTGAGGTAAAGGTTAATGGAAGCGACCTGCAAAATAGAGATTTACAACTACGCCGTCTGCTGTAGCTACCTCGGCAACACAAGATTATTTCTACTAAAAACACCTTTTAAAAAAAGAAAAAAGCCAAGGGGAACACTTTTTATTTCCGTATGGTACGGCGTCGGCTGTATAAGCTGTCCCTGGATATTTGCTCGATGATTCACATTAATATGTGAACTCGAGAAACTCAGGTGTCAGGTTGAAAATTGCCTTGAGGCAGGTTAAGATGATTCTGCCAGGCTTAAGATTAGAGGAAATGGGAAAAGAAAAGAACACCAGAGAGAACAAGTCCCAGTCTAATGTGAACAAGGGAAGGACAGAGCGGAGCTGTCTCTCACCACTGGAGAAACCCTGAAAATATCTTCTGTTGTCAGCAGCACTTAGACAGAACACATGCACCTGTGAAGGCCATACATTTACCCATACATGTTAGTCACTGAAGCATCCACAGCCTGTTCATCCATTTGTGGCTCAGGTTGTCTCGTATTGACCTTGTATCTCTATTAAAGCAAGAAACGAAGGGCCCATACAACTATTTTCTATTTGGTTCCCAGGAGCATTGCTAAAAAGCTTATGATGGGATTTGAAACAACAAAGATTACCTTTATTTATGCATTCAGACATCTGTTTGATTTACTTTGGATCGAGCGGAATGTATTTCTTCTGCTGATACTCATGACGGATAATAACCTTATTAATTGCTTCTCAGATAAAAAAGACAATTGATATTTTTACCTTTTTGTATTTTAGATAAGTTCATAACCTATAGTTTGTGCACGTTTGAGGATACAATATGGCTACTACCTACTGTATTGGAGTGTTATTGCTCTGCTTTTTACGTAATGAAAGCAATGTGGCTTTGCATTATTGGCTTATAATTTATTCGCTTCAATTTAACAATGGAAAATACATAATTATCTAAATGTTCCAATCTTGCATGATAGTGTATCCGTACTGCGCATAATGAATATATTCAAAATACAGTATATACACACAAACTATATTTGTATTAAGTCCTCCATTTCAGAATCTTCTTCTTCTTTCAAGGTTTAAGAAACAAATATATTTCAAAGCATGTTTGGATGTTTGTTCCATTCGATCAGGAGGTTCTGAGAGAGCTCAAAATGCAGTGCTAATAAAATCACGGCCTTAACATTTGAGACCTTAATGATTGTTCGGCATGTAAACGTTGCTGGGCAACAAACACAGAGCAATTCTTCTATCCAAGGCCACTAAATTCACGCCCCCCTCCTTACCTAATGTTGAATAACTGACAGACACTTAAACCAACAAGCAGAGGCAATTCAGTGGAGGAGTAGAAAAAGGTGAGGGTACATCGCACGGTTATATTTCTTGACTGCTGTAGGCTCGGCTGTGGGCTGGCGCTGTCTGTATCTCCATAACTTCACAGGGTATTAATTGTTTCAGCGCCGTCAGCAGAATGGCCTCTGCTTGTTGAACCACATCCAGGAGGAAAGTCATCAGCCAAATTGCATGGGAGCAAATTCTGAGGCTCAGCCACAGTGCAAGATGCTGAATTGAATTGAAAATGAAAAGATGGTTGTTGGACCATGGTGGGCTCCATTTTGAGAGGTGCATTGAAAACGGTTAACCACCACTGAGATTGAATAGGATTGTGGAAAAGTATCATGAGAAACTGCTAATTTATGTACAGGATTACCGTAAAAATACGTGATATAGTTCAAAGTCATCATTGACATTCATGTGATATGCCTCACCAATGCTGATTAGTATGCTTGAATATAATATACCATTAGATCAAGTGAAGAGGGCCGTTTGGTGGCAATCACATAGCAAGTGATTAGCTGAGGGAAAGAGCAAGAGGTGCTGCGGGGAATAAAACCCCATGCTCGCTTACAACACTGCTCGGGGAGATTTGCATTGAAATAGTACGACCTTCCACAGTATGAGGCATACATCAACCCACCCACAATGACTTTGTGTTCTATTAATCAAGGGATCCATGGATACTTTGAACAAAGGAATAGTGGTGGAAGTCATATTTACCTAAGTAAACGAACTATGCTGAAAAACTATTCTATTTTGAGTAGAATAAATGGCTTAAAAGCACATAAATGCAAACTATACCTCAACAATAAAGCACTTAAAGGAAGTAATTGTGGCTTGGTGCAATGAGGATATTAAATATCATTCAGGAAAGTATACTTTTTGACTTCCCGGCTGTTGGCTTTTCCGTCATACTATGTGTTTGACTGGTGAGGTTAAATATTTTTTAATGGACAACATTTTTCTACAAAACAGTGGAGGGAAACTCTTCATATTATGTTAATTTCAAGGTTCATATTTGTATGTTTCGCCCCTACTGTCACATGTGTACATGCTTGTATGTGTGCCAGCTCTGATTGGTTAGTTGGCTAGCTCTGTTGTGATTGGTTAACGCCTTACAGATTTGTCGGAATAGTATAGTATAGTGGTAAGTCTATTAAAAGAAATTCAGCAAAGTTGGCTTATTGCAATAAAGCTTTTTTTATATTTATTTTTATATTTTATGTTTTATTTGTGTTGGTTGTTCTTACCCTTGTTATTTTCTTAGAGTTTTGTGACTCTGTTATGACTCGCTGATATGTTCACCTCTAGTTAGGAGTCATACTGTTTTTTGAATCATTTCCTTTTTACTGAATATCACTGTCCAATGTTATGTTGGGTATAAGAAAACCCAAAGATCCAGCATCTGTGTCAGCAAGGCATTTTATGATGTATTAACAAATCATGTATTTTACTTTAGAGTTATTAATAGATCATATGGATGTCAGTAGAAGGCCAGCTAAATGTAAATGTAAAGGAGAGGGCAACAGTGGAGTAACCCAGTGAAGATGCAATTCACATAAAAAATTCAGTGGCCTATGCCTCCCTTAAATACATCCAAGCTTTAAAAAGACATGAGGGGTTAGGCAGCGGGGGCCGGTGTCGATTTACTATCGGTGCATTTCAAGCGACATAGTGTGGAATTTTAAGTATAATCTGTTTATAACTTCTGGTTTCAATCTACCGTATAATCTCCTGATTACACTGAACTTCGGAATCAGGATCATGCTGTAATATACCATTTCAGCACCATGGACAGCATCCTTCAGCACTCGATGTTTCACTGACAATGTGTGTAACTGCCTTTTTAAATGGATCTCATTTTACACACATAAGGGGTTGTGCATATGGGTATAGACTACTTGTAAGGACCCTCGGATCATACTGTATTTCCTTGAATGTAACCACAATTACTATAAGCCAAACCACACCATCATATAAGTCTAAAACATAGCCTACAACTGAGTTTTAACACCTACAAAAAACCTTAGGATTGTGCACAAATCTTAAAATGTAACACTCAAACTGGCCCTGTCACAAATAGATGAACACCCACACACAACTAAACACTTGACCACAATAATCATATAACCTTTTTCTTTTAAATCTAGGTCTAACATCTAGCCTATAACTGAGTCTTAAAAAAAATATCAAATTGTCTTAAAATCTGAAGATCTCACACTCAAAATGGCCCTCACAAATATAAAAGAACACACACACACACACACACACACACACACACACACACACACACACACACACACACACACACACACACTACAGGAAATAAAAGGTTATTGAGTAAATGATAATTTAATCATTATCATTACCAAATCCAAATGTTCATTAACAAAAACGGTGATTAAAATGTCTTCACAAAACATTTTGCATGTGTCCAAGCAATTGGTTACAAACTCCAATCGTGCTTATAGTAATTGTTTTCATTTCCACTGATGAAAGGATCAATTTCCGTGTCAACCCAATTTATTATTATATCTTTTTTATAAAACATGCCACCCAAACATTCAACTCACGAAGCACCCTTGGACAAGTTCACGGGTCGCACTCTCACCAGAAGAGGGCATTCCGATTCTGCCTGACAAAGTTGCCTTGACATGCAGACGTGATTTACAACAGCGTCATGCTGCATCTGAAACCGGGCAGCAGCGAAAACGAAAGCAGGATTTGGAAAGAAAGCTTGATATTTGGATGATTCTTAATAATTTCGCGAGGCTTGTTGACAGCGTTCCGCAGAGACTTGGATAACCGAACGCCACTTTCCTCTGTGCACCATGCGCGGATCACACTGAGCATCCTTATGAGAAAAAAGACACCGGGAGAGGAATCTAAGGGCTGCATTTGGAGAATTACGTCCCTTTTGTGTGCATCGTGCCACCGTACTTGTCAAGTTTTGTGATCGGATTCTTCTAAGACTGGCATGAATTCCCTGGATTTGGCTTGGTTATTGTCTGCGCCTACTGCGGTACTCTTTTTGGCTGTAACTTGAAAAAAAGCTTCTCTCGCTTCGAAGACATGGATAAGGAGTTCTGAAACGGGATTTGTTAACCCTTTTAATCTGGAGTTGGAGGTAAATAACATTGGACCCGTTTCGACTAAACCGGATAGCACATCCAGGTCCGGGAGAGTAAAGGGCAGGTGCGCTTTGGAGTCGGCGGCTGCGCGGAGAGACCGGGCTAGTGGATTAGGACGGTACCTGTCTGTGGAGAGCGCGTCATGCGGACTCGGGTGTCGCGCAGTAGAAGCCATTAAAACCTGTAGGCTGGAGCTGACAGATAAGCGGATATGGGTAAGTTATATTTGCCTTTTTTATCAAGTAGCGTGATTCCAAATTATTCTCTAGTTGTCCTCCTTTCTAACAAAAAACCCCAAGATGCATCGTGTCTCTGGAGCAGAATGGGTTGTTCTCATCAGAATTTGTCGTCTTTTCAAAATGCATTTTTGTAATAACGTAAGGTGTCATTGAAGTGCTTCGGGGGGCTTGGAATATGTGGGTGAAGCTTGTGCTTGTATAGCGTGTCAGTCGCAGAGCTGCAATCTGTTTTTCCTCCATTTCCTGGCCATAGAGCCTAAGGATACTTATATTTTGATTTTTTGCACCTCTGTGCGCTTACATATCTGCTTCTAAAATCACCAGTAAAAGCAAAAAAAACCTGTTTTCCAAATGAGGTCCATCCCTTGTTGTCTTGACTAGTTAGAGTGTCTTGCTCATTGGCATGGACTGAAATGCTAATCACGGTAAATTTTGGAAGCCAGTCAACTTTATAAAGCGTGGCCCTGCATAATCATTGATTTGTGCTTCATCTGTGCATGTTTCCATTGTCCAGTATCAGCCTCAGATCTAACGCCTCTTCCAAACAACTCTTGTGGGCTGATTTAAGGCACCGAGTCGTGCATGGTTCTGGTTCTCATTCAAGAAAGCCTTCGTATTCTGCACCTGCTTTTAAAAAAAGGGACCCTCCTAATTGAAAACTGTGTGTCAATATATCAGAACACTGTGTGTGTGTGTGTGTGTGTGTGTGTGTGTGTGTGTGTGTGTGTGTGTGTGTGTGTGTGTGTGTGTGTGTGTGTGTGTGTGTGTGTGTGTGTGTGTGTGTGTGTGTGTGTGTGTGTAGACAATGCCCCACTCCTTCAGTAATGCATCGTGGTTTTTCTCTCATGCACGGGTTTTCCCCATCTTATTCTCAGTTATATATAAGGATAATTAACCATTTAGCCTCGGTCTGTTTCCCTTATGCACGTTTTCACACGCATAACCACCCTCCTCAACCCTTCTCTAACTCTGTCCCTTCCTTGGTAATGACTGGCTCTCCGTTTCCCCCCCAATTTGCCAATTATTTGGGCTCCATCTTCTGCATGCTCCTGGTCTAATTTTATTGTCAGGGGTAGCCTAATCTCCCCAGTCATTCTTAACCGGTATACAGATGGCCAAGTTCACTGGTGGTGCTGTGCCATTAATTGCGAGGCTGCATGATGCATCGACCCACGGTGGGTTACTGCACCGCATCAATATAAGCTACAACAGCACAGAAAGCCATACAGTACAGGCCCGTAGGAGCCCAGACGTAATTTATGTGCACTGCAAAGCAACCATATATGGTTAATCATAGGAGTGTAGTTTATGGGCCTGTTTCCTAATTGAATATCAGAGTGTGTGAGGAAAAGCCCTGCATACTGGAGTTGCAGCGAGTTTGACTCACACACACACACAACACATTTGCCTGAAAAACTGCAGCTTTTGTCAACCACATAGCATCATGCTGCTGCCCACAATTATTCGATGATTATTTGGCCCTGTAATCTCAGTTATCCAGCTGACTGTGATGCTCTTCATTAACAGCATGCGACGCACTTATGTTTCATGGGCCATATCATTTGAGATCTGCTTTGCAGGAAGAGAACAGTAGGGCAGGGAGTGTAATAAGGCAGCCAGAGCTTCAAGATACATTCAAAGAGCTAAGTTACATTTTACACTCTGCCTCAGTAATATTAAATAAAATAGATGCAATGTTACTGGCTTCTCTGAGAGTTCACAGCAGGCAACAGATGACCTTTTGCTGGCCCCAATGCATCCAGCAAGGAGATCAGAAAGCCCCACTGAGGGCAATATCAAGGCATTTGTTATTTACATTTGATTATTTTTACAGAAAAAATCAATAGCTTGAAGCACTTGGGATCCAGCATTCAATATCTACAATATACTTGCTAATGCTGCTCAAGTTGGTTTAAACTGGAATTATTGAGCTACAAATTGAGTACACCATAGCATGATTCAACAGTAACACTTGATCTTTTTTCTAATATAATAAAATATTGAGCAAAATAAGCCAATGGCCCTATTCAAAGAAAGGTATACATGTATCTAATCTTATCTCTCCAGAAGGCTACATCTAGAATGTAGTAAATAATGTATGAACTCACATACATCCAAAGGTGTGGTTTCTTGTCATTCAATGTATCAGGTTAAGAGGATGTGTTTGTTTAATTGCAATAAAAACGTTTTTTTAATTACTTATTGACAATAAGTTGACTAAGACCAAAACAACCACTACGTAGAATGATAGACAAAGGGGACGTTCTACATCACATGTACACAACTTCAACAAAGATCAAGTGTATTTCTTTTTTGCTGCTCTATAAATAATCAACCCTAACCCTAGCACTGTCCTAAACTGGCCCTAAAACAGCTATTTGAAGAATTGTGCAGTTCCCTTACCAGAACAGCTCCTCACAATCTAAATTAAGAGCACTCTGCCAGCACACACATGACAGTGTTTTTCTACTTTCAGAGCTATAGGGGATTTTAGTGTTACTATGCCCGTTGTCAGGGCTGTGTTGCCCAGTAACACTCTGGATGCATGGGGTCAACTTGACCATGATGCTGTACTTTCGCTGTAGCTATTATTAAATGACATGGAATGAGAAACAACGCACAACCTTTACAGTGACATGTGAGGTTTATACCCAGTTTGTATTGAGCCCTGGAACATCATTTCCATTCGCGACTTTTCTCTTAGGTTCCCTCTTGTTCATCATTATTTCTATCTCCTGGTTACTGTTATCTACCTACACATTCAACCTTTGTTCTCCTTTGTATCCATGAAAATTGAAAGGAGATGAAGTAATATGTTGGGTTATCACAGTTAAAACAATTAAGATTCCAAAATAATAAGTTTGTTATCTTTTTGGTTCTACGATGGAATACAATGGAAGCATTTCATTGTGTTCAATTCCGCCACCACTCATATCTTAATCCAGAATTGTTTCCACAAATACATTTTGAAATGATCAAATTATTAATTAATTAACTTTACAAAACGTATTTATTAGTGGGCCAATCTCTAGCCCTTTAAATCTAAAAACTTCATGTACTTTCTCACAGCAAATGAAACAACTATTTATAGGTCTATAAATAGTCGTTTGTTGTAAATCTGAGTACAAATAGGATTGAATGGTCTCAATTGACATAAGACCTTTCTTTGATGCTTAATACTCGTTGGTTCATATCCTCAAGGTATCAATGAACCATTTCTAGCGGATGTGAGATGGATGTGAGATGTGAGACTCCATTGCTATATAAGGAAGGGTTAAGGCTGATTGGTCATGCGTGTGTGCAGAGTATTCATGACAATTCTCCCTGCTGTTTCTATTCTGTAGTCTTCCTAATCAGTTCTACAAATACAACACGAGCACACCCGGACACAATCTTTTCCAACCACGGTTGAAAGAGGTCTAACTTGGCAGGCCTCGCTATCATCTCAAAGATAATTGGAGACTAATAGGATAGCTCAGGCTGGTCTGGGGACGTCCTTCCCTATGTTTTCGGCTGCTGTCCAGCCTCTATGTGCAGTCAAGGCTGAGGCTGGGAGCAGTTTTGTCAATGACAGGCAGCAGATAGCAATGAGCCACTTGTGTGCACCCCAAAGTGCACCAGTTAGCGAGTCCATTTGCCAAGTTATTAAGCTACATTTGGTTTTATTTTAGGTCAGCAGTAAAGTGCACTCACTCCCTCTATGTGTTAAGGTTGAGAGGCAGAAACAGCTATCTTCCCTTGCTGAGGACAGCAGGTCTGTCTGCTACATAACAAAGCATTACCCGCATGCCTTTAGACAAACTTCAGCTTAGACTTATCCATTCATTTTGGATTCAGACAGGTAACTGTGTTGGGTGACAAGAAAAAATGAGTACGTGCGGGGCTATATATTATCATATGGAACACTAAAAAGAAAGCAAGAAAAATGCTATACTAAAAGCTGTAGAGCAAGAAAGGCGGTTGGAGGGCGAAAATGGAAATCAACGAGGAAAGTGAGGAGGTGGTTTTGAACACATGCATAAAGAATAGACTACTATATATAACAATGTCAATGGTGGCAGGGTCCAAGGACATGTATAACTAGCATATTTCATACAGGACATGGAAATTGAAGGATAAATTGTACATGTAAGTAGATTCAGCATGAGAAGGGTAATGGTGAAAGATGCATCAGGTAAGAGGTAATGTGAACCCAAACCGCATGAGTGACAACTCACAGGGTGACTTGTGCTCCTTTGTGAATAAGATTAGAGGAATAGTAAGGGAAGGAGATGGCTTACAGAGGCATTAGCGCACGGAGCGCTCATTAAAACCCATACAGTGTCAGGAAGGGGGAGAGAGGTGCCTTGTGAGGCAGGCTCAATCTGAAAGAGATGGCGGCGTCACTTCTAATAAAGCAAGCCTATTATGCACATGGGAAATAAATGCAATAGGGGCTGTTTCTACAGCCTCCCGGGATGCGAGTCAAACGCAAAATGTAGAAAGCATGCATTTGTGTTTAACAGCCCACACGTTCTGTTCCCAGTCTGTTAAAATTTGCTTTGAATGTACACGGAACATTACATATGGGCGTTGTTCTATATCGGTATTCTCTTCCCACTTCTATTTGTTTTCTTATCGTAACACTTTGATGAACAGTGTTGTTGGCAATTTAGTAACTTTCGGAAACTTGTGAGAAAAATGACGAATTGGCTGCTCTAAAAAATACAGCACCTTGTGATCTTTCTATTTGAAACATTTAGCAAAAGTGGAGACACGTGATTGATCTGCGGGCAAAATAAATAGCCAGCACAAATGATCTGTACTGTTCCACGGTTCCCCTCCATCTGTAAGTATTGATGAAAGATTAATCGGAAAACAAACATTACGCGTGTCTCTCGCGCTCTCTACAGTCACACACACACACACACACACACACACACACACACACACACACACACACACACACACACACACACACACACACACACACACACACACACACACACACACACACACACACACACACACACACACACACACACACACACACACACAATACCCATATGGGATCAGCAGATGCTTGGCAAAAAGTGAAATGGCTATGTTGGTTAGCATATGCTCTATTATGCCTCTCAGCCACTCTATGTCAGGAAATTATTTCTGACAAATCCTGCAAAGATTACAGAAAAAGCTACCAAATTAAAATAATGCTCATTGCCTCAACTATCATTGAAGCACAAATATCCCATGTTTTGCTCTTCCTGAATGTACCACATGTACATATAACGCGTTCATTTTAGGTGAATTAATCACCGGCAATATACATTTTGCGAGCTAATTAAAATATCTACTACTTCCACCCTGTCATCATAATCTTATCTCACTGTCATAATGGTCCATACTTGATGATACTGCCTTTGGAAACATACATAAGTAGTGACCCCCTCCCCCCCCCCCCCCCCAAAGGGGAAATCAATGTATCTTAATGACACATCATTAGAGGCTCTGTAAAGGGGAACGATTTTAATGGAAACAACTCTGTCTCACCTCAGAACAAGGAGTGATATCACAGGAAGCTGCTGACCACTGTTCTTCACTTCTCAAGCAGTATTTGGAACAGATCATCCACTATCAACTAGAAAATATACATAGACGTGTATTCATACTCCGGACAAATGTTGGCAGTCAGGTTGCTATTTCTTTGGCAGAGATGAGTTATGTAATTCCATAGGGTCCATGCTGATTGTATTATTTGAACCCGTGGAAAGAAGGATCGATGATTCATGCTGAACTCGTACAGCTTCGGTTTAGTTATACATGAAATGGCTGGAGTCTGCATTAAAATGCCTCCTAACCCTGTATACACAACCAGCGGCTCTTGAATGTTAATTTTCTCTGTACAGGCTGCCTTTCATAACTTATCTGCATACGCCATTGGTGCAATGATAGCTTACGGGATGACTGAATACAGAGATAAAGATATGCTTGAGCAAAATTATAAATTGCTTTGATTCAACGCTGGTTGTCAGTTTGTATTAATTGTAACCATACAGCTAAATGACATTAATCGCTAAAACCATTTAATTTGTGGTATTTTTCCATACAATGTAGACTATGCTTTACACTTGAGTAAAACATATTTTCATTAAAATGGAAATTTGAATTATCTCATTAAATGACCAAATAAAGTTGACAATATATCGAAATAATTTTTAACAGCTGGTAATTTCTCACTTTGAATACTCTCGAATCTTATTTGTAAACTTATTTTTAATTCCCAAAATTGCAGTGATTTGTTCACGTTATGTTGCATTATTTATAATATTTTCATCTTATTTGATTTTAGATGTTAAATTGACCAAGCTGTCCTCTGGATTCTAGTTTTCAAAAGCATGACATACATGCTGCCTGTTCTAGAAATATTGATATATATCATAATCCTGCTTCCTTTTACCTCTTGATCTATATACAAAGTAGTTCCCATGGGTTTTGGGCCTTGGGGGGTTGTGAGTCATCATTCACAGATACAAGATGTTTTCACAAGTTCTGACATCTTTACATCAATCAGGATATGGAAAAGTTTCCTGAAGTGTGAGGGATTGAGCTGATGACTCAATTTACCCAAAAAATCTGCATGCAATTTCTTTCATTAAAGAGGTCAATTTAAGAGAAGTAAACTCATCTCGCACTCTTAGTTTGTTTATGGTGCTTTTGTTTTGTTTGATAGCTTACCCATTTATACTGATTAAGTCCTATGAAATAAACTAGAATGTCCAAACTAGAAATCACGATCCCCCCAATAATGTGGCCCCACTTGGTACATCCTGAATGGCCACTTCCTGTATTTAAGAGCTCCTAGAGGGCACATGTTTTGCCAAAGCCTGCCAATATGCCCCTTCTGCAGCAGCAACAAAAAGCAGCACCATCTGCACTGGTAACTCAAATAAATAGGAATTAGAAGAACATGAGGTTAACTTATATTAGGAGGACAAACTAATATTTGACTATAGAGAAGTAAATACATATTTGTGCAATGATCTAGCATATAGCAGCACATATTTCTGATTGACTTGACTTCCAAAGTTTGATGTTTGGTGAAATCTTTTTTGTTGTTAAAATCACATGTGCTGAACTTTTTTCTCCTCTCCCCCTTTCTCTCATTTCTACAGGCTCTGCTCTGCGGCGTCGCTGGCTAGTGGTCCAACTCCTGATGCAGGTGTGGCTGGCGGCAAATCCATCTTTGAGCGAGCGCCAATGCCCCAAGAGCTGTCGCTGTGATGGGAAAATTGTCTACTGTGAGTCCAGCGCCTTTCGAGATGTCCCCAAGAACCTCTCTGGAGGCTGTGAAGGCCTGTCTTTACGGTACAACAGCCTCGTCAGTCTTCGAGCAGGCCAGTTTGTAGGCCTCAACCACCTCATCTGGCTCTACTTGGACCACAATTACATTGCCACTGTGGATGTAATGGCCTTTCAGGGGGTCCGCAGGCTCAAGGAGCTGATCCTGAGTTCCAACAAGATCACGTCCCTCCACAACACCACATTCCACCCTGTCCCTAATTTGCGAAATCTGGACCTGTCGTATAACAAACTGCAAGCCTTGCAGCCTGGGCAGTTCCAGGGCCTACGGAAGCTTCTCAGCCTACACATACGGTCAAATTCCCTGAAAACCGTCCCAATGCGTCTTTTCCAAGATTGCAGAAATCTTGAGTTTCTGGATCTGGGATACAACCGCCTGCGCAGTATCACCCGGAATGCATTTTCAGGCCTAGTGAAGCTCACTGAGCTGCATCTGGAGCATAATCAGTTCTCAAAGATCAATTTCTCACACTTCCCTCGCCTCTACAATCTGCGGGCGCTTTACCTGCAGTGGAATCGCATTCGCTCAATGAGCCAGGGCCTGACCTGGACTTGGGCCTCCATCCAGAAACTGGATCTGTCTGGAAATGATTTGATGGAAGTTGATGCTGTGGTTTACCAATGCCTACCCAACCTGCAGACCCTCAATCTGGACTCCAACAAGCTGACCAACATCTCCCAGGAGGTGGCTGATGCCTGGATCTCTCTGACAACGATTAGCCTAGCTGGGAATGTATGGGACTGTAGCCCTGCGATCTGTCCTCTGGTGTCATGGCTGAGGAATTTCAAAGGTGCAAAGGAGACCACGATGATCTGCGCTTCCCCCAAGAAAGCCCAGGGTGAGAAAGTGATGGACGCTGTCGAAGCTTTTGGTGTTTGTCAATCGAACCAACCGGCAACGCTCACTGTGAGTATTCCTCCATCCCCGTCCAGCATCCCTGTGCAGACTGAACGCCGCCCAGCTATTCTGGCTTTTCCCACTAGTCCTGGAAAGAGAGGAGAAGGGTCTATCAGAGGCCCCACATTGTCAGCTGTTACCCCCCCCTGTGGCACCTCCGCCAGAACAAGACATGGAACCTGTGTCCTTCCATAAGATTGTGGCTGGAAGCGTCGCCCTTTTTCTATCGGTTGCCATGATCCTGTTGGTTATCTACGTGTCTTGGAAGCGCTATCCTAGTAGCGTCAAGCAGCTGCAGGAGCATTCGGCAGCAGCCCGAAAACGTCGCAAGAAAGCCAGAGAGACGGAGCGCACCCTGAGCTCTCCACTGCAGGAGTACTATGTGGACTACAAGCCCACCAATTCTGAGGCCATGGACGTGCTCGTGAACGGGACCGGACCCTGCACCTACACCATCTCAGGCTCCCGAGAATGCGAGGTATGACCCACACCACCGCCACTCCTCCTAAAGCAAACTATGTCCACAGCTCGGCGACCAGAGGTAATTATTTACTCTCTGCTTTGATAGATGATAAATCCGCCACTTGATTACTTAGCCTCACGCAGCAGGTTTGGTGAACACTGTGTACCCACGGATTATTTAGGCGAGTGATTTTAGCATTACTTTGTGTATAGCGGAACGTGTCTCGCTTTCAGACGGGTGTTTGTATATTCGCTTAAACCTTAATCTCTGTTGAGATGCAAATGTTTGTTTTGCTGCAAAATTGTACAGACATACAGATAAATGAGATAGATTACTGTTTCTATTTTGCATAATCTTGAGCCTAAACTATGCTGCTTGTGATAAGACCTTTGAGCTTGTTTAGGTACTTGCTTGCCTTTTTTGCTTGGGTATAACAGGCTCTGTGTGTTTGCTCTACTGCTGTGCAGTGTTTGAGTAGTACTGTGTAGGGACAAAAGCTGAAGATCTTTTTTTGGACACTTGTTGTGAATGCAAAAAGAGACTTGTCACTGAATAGAGTTTCCCCTGAGCTGATGACTTCGCACATTTCTTGACAGCAATGACTCAAAATAGTCGGGGAAACACTCATACCCCCCCAACTGCGCATCCTTTCTGATGTTTTCTTTTCCTTTTCACACTGACTTGCTCACCAGCGTAATTGATCGGTCACACACAAACTGAAATGCATACTTTCATCGGTCATCCACAATGTATTTCACATAGAAAAAAGCACATTTTGTGATATAAGAACATCTGCACACACTCTGAAAGAAGAAGTGTTTGATAGTCCCGAAAGGAGTGGGAATCATTTGAAATGTTTTGTACACTGACAAGTGAATTTCTTCAAAACAGTATTTACAGACTACAGCAATGTGGGAATACTACTTTTTGCTTTCAGCTACACTCTTGTGTACCTGATCGGGGTGTAACGGTTCACATAATTCACGGTTCGGTATGTACCTCGGTTTGGGGGTCACGGTTCGGTACGGGTTCGGTACAACGAGAAAAAGCTAAAAAAAGTCCCAAATGCATAATTCCAGGTTTGTTGTTATTTATTTTTGAACAGTAGTGCAAGTTTCAGTATAAAAATAAGGAACTCTAACATTTTGAATAATTAACTGTATTAGACAGTTAAAAAAAAACACAAACAGTACCACACACACTCAGATGGCCATATTATCTATAATGGCTGATGTCAAACAAAAAGGTGTCACCAAGCTGTAAAACTAAAAAGAATGTCTTGAAAATATTACAAAATAAATAATAAGAAAGTGTTTCAAGGGCGAATAGTCGTAAAATATATATGCCAATAGCTTCCGTTATTTATTTTGGTCTCTCGGCTTTCATGTCTATCGGCTTCTTAAAAACAACGGGGATAAGCTGTTGAACTGCTGTTGTCTTTCGCCGGGCTCCGGTGATTGGCAAATCTGGGTGATGCCTTCTGATATGATTTAGCATGTTTGGCGTGTGTTACCATTAGCATACCGCACCGCTGTCGAACAACGCCGACACACCGTCCTCCCGATCCACCACTCGCACTCCATCGTTATTGTAGTCCGCAGGGAACCCGAAATGTTCCCACACAGCTGATTTAAAAGAAGCAGGTGGGTCTTCTAGCTTCTGTGTGTTATCTGAAATCGCCATACTAACTTCTCTTCTTCTTGTATTTTGTTTGTTTTGTTGTGTTTTCTTCTTGTTCTTCTTGTTCTTCATTTGTTGTTTAAGGGCGGCAGGCAAACAGCTTTTAGGCGCAATACCGCCCACTGGATTATATATAGTGTAATGGATACTGCCCTGAGTGACAGACTTTTTTCCCTTCATAAAAAAAGGCGTATTCGTCGTGTGACTGCATGTGCCGAACCGTGAATACGGATACCGTTACACCCCTAGTACCTGACATACTTCATACTTGTTAAACCTTTTAATCTACTACTGAGGATTCACAGGTTTTTAGGAGCCACAGCTACGCAATGTTTCTGTAGAAATATATTTATTATAACTTATTGACTGGCCCAGTTGTAAGAGGGGGTTAAAAAAAAAGGGAAAGGCTAACTTGGGGTTCTTCCAATTTCTTTCCCATTAATTGTGGTGTTTGTTTGGCAATATTTCCTTGTCCACTGCAAGGATCTAAGGTCAGGTGGTGTTGTATCCTGAACACACTGTAAAGCCCCCAGAATTAAATGTCTAATTTGTGATACTTGTCTATAAATAAAATGTGATTTAATTTTTATTTGATAATCAGTTATCCCACAATTTAAAGCCGTAACCGCAGACATATCTTTGTAAAGCTTTCTATACATTATCCCATTACCAGCCTTTTCATATTCACTGTAATTCCTAGATTTTCTCTGCAAAACTATAGTATACATTTGGCAAATTAATATAAATGTAAAGGTTTAAACAGGAAGAAGTAGAGGAGGGCTTGATCCTCTTCTTTCTTTTCCATTTCTGATACTAGGTCTGGCTTTCGTGAAGGCAGGAATAATATGTAATACTTGCAGATTGCTTACACAATTTATACTGTTAAAGAACCACAGATTACAGCTGCCATTTTGTTTTCATTTGACTTGACCTCCTAACTTTGCATCCCACCTTTCAGCCTACAGTCCTATTTATTTTAAACTTGATTGAAATTGAAGTAGGATGGGTGCAAGGGTTAAATATAGAGGATGCAGCAGTTGAGTCTGAGCAGCTGTACTTTATTTTAAATAATGCCAAGGAGCCTTCTATATGAATGATGTGCTTTGCATCATTTTGACAAATCTTTTGTGGCGTTGACTGAGGCGTTATCATGTTATGTATACAGCCAAACATGGAGCACAGCTTAATATTAAGCAAACAATGTGCGCAGAATGTATAAGGCTAGACATGATCGGCTAATATAGTATATTCCACACAAGAACATCACAAATACACCTCAAAATATTCTAAAGACATTGACTTTTAAATGTTGTAAAAATAAGCTTTTCAGAAATATTATTTGTTTAGGGCTGGTTTGTATTTTTCATAAGCTTGATGTTATTGAGGCCACCCCCTCTAATTCAAATCATAAGCTATTTATTAGCAAGCATGTAAGAGAGAGCTGCTTACAGAACTATATAGGAAAAATACTTAATGTGGAAATAAATATTACCTTAATAAAGAACATATAATACAGTTAGTTCACAATATCAAACATTACAAAAATAAATATGAATTGAGTTTTTATAGCATTTTACAGATGGATGTGGTAATTATTATTGGAAATGAATTGTAAAAAATATGTTTGACTGACAACACGTAATTTAAGATGTCTTTAAAAACATAATATCATAATGTTACCACGGTGAAGCAGTGCTTAGAGTTATATCATATTTGAGAAACAATGGAAGGCTATTGCACTTTGGATCAGGAGGAATTGGCAGCCATTGGAAGGAGGGGATACTGTCAAATTAGGTGACTGCAAATATATTTAAAAAATGCATTGGTTGACTTTCAGTATGTCACATTACAAGGGATAAAATGGCTGATATGCTTTGCCGATGCCCCTTGGTTCAGGGCTATTTTCACTCTCATATTGCATTGCATATTATCTATGAAGGTTTCCCCCTCCCCTTTACTTCCACTCTTAAATATCAGACACAGAATACCTCCCAGCCTCCCCATTAGTGCGAGCCAGAAGCAGACCTGCCGTTTACCATGGAAATTCCTGCATCTATCATTAGCCTTTTATCTTGACTTGATTGAACTTGGCAATTTAGCTGACTCTTTTATCTGCGAGCCAAATAAAGCGGGAATTAACCCATACTAATAGGGGCAAGGACCAAACAAAAATTACACAGACGGCAGAGTGAAACACCTAGGAAAGAAACATATTTTTAATTCACATGCAATTGAAGGAATTTTCAACAAAGAAGCAGGAGCCGGAGGAAAAGCACATTTTGTTCTTTATTATTTCAGTGCAAAACAGGAATATATCAAGCAATTATAGGTTGGTGATGAAAGTGTATTGAAGTGAAACACTCTCTGAACAAAAGTAAATAAATAGAGTATATTGCAAGCACTGTAGGGCTCCCAACAGAAAGTTTACAATTACACAGCTCTGATTCTTATCAACATCAATTTCATCACGCAGTCTTCAGCAGGTTCAAATACTCTGTTGCTCCACCTCCTTATATAAGCTATACCTGAGGGAGGGAAGCTGGCACATACTGCACAGGCAATGTAAATCAGGCTATAGCTGAATTAATTTGTAGTCTTCACAAGGTGAGATGTATTCATAACAGGCCTTAATTATCAATAAAAGAACATGTGAACAAAGCTAATCAAAGCATTCATTATTACTGTGTAAAAAAGAAGGTAAATAATCAATTGGATAGGGAACAGTACAATATTTTAAAGTATCCTTGATGAATGTAACATAATAGTTATAATTATTAAGTTAAATGTATTTATTTGTTTAGCTTTTTAACTTAACAAAATGTCTAAGATGGATCTTCTTCCGGACAGAATCAAGTTAACATTCTTATGCATTATTGGCTGTACATTGGCACCTTGGTTAGCTTCCATACAAAAAATGTGTTTTACAAATCAACTTAACTCCGCTGTAGGGGATATTTATTGTCATTGTTATGGCACGTTTGCCTATGATCTCTTACAGTGCAACCTGTATATTCATATCACGACACTTCCTTAGCTCCTGTTCCCTCACTGAACTCTCCTCCATTTTGTTTCTCGAGATATCCTTGACAATGCTTCCCCTCCAGCTCCAGCCTTATCACTTTCTCTGTCTCATCTTAAAACATTATAGAGCCGAGACAGGAACCATCAGTCAGCGGTCCGAAAAGTCCGGAGTTCATCTGAGGATGTGCTCCGATCATGTTTCTACATTTTGTTGCTCTCGCGTGTACATAAATCACTCTTTTGCAGAACGCCGGGGCACCTGCTACACTCTCTCTCAGGCCTCGAGGCCATTGCGGCTCAGGTCTGTTCATCTC